TACATATGTCCCATGGTAGTCCACTCTCTCAAGTGAATCTCCAACCAAGTTTGTTAGGATCGAAGTGCAGAATAAACAACTATTGAGATGTCAAATGCACAACAATTTAATGAGAAACAATCCATAAGCATAAAAGATTGACGACACACAATATTTAACGTGGTTCGACTCCACAATTGAGCCTACGTCCACGGAGAGAATCCCGTTCTTTATTATGAGAGAAAAACCCTATGCAAGAATACAATTTGAACCCAAATCCAACCCTTGTATACCATCTCTCATCTCCCAAGAACCCTCTCTCACACCCCATATATAAGACTACATGATGCCCTTGTGTATCTCTTGTGTATCACTTTGTAGTATGTCAACCCACCTATTTATAGAGAACATTATTTGGCCAAAAATACCAAATAACAAGAGAAAAAAAAACAATGCTAATTCCTAAACTTGTATAGAATAGGAAATAACTTCTAATTCTAAACTAAATAGAATATTTTTTGGTTACTACTTGACGTAACTAAAACCAATTAGAAAACTAGTTACTTCCACACAAAACAAGAATTCTATCTAAAAGAAATTAAGACAATCTCTTAACAAAGTCTACAATCTCTTTGTGTAATTTCCAATATGCCATTGGCTAAAGAGCACTAAAACTTGCACCAGAATCAAAAGCTGCACCACCTTTATGATTTGATATTTTTAGTTGTTCTTTGTCAATGTCAAGCATCTTACGTCCAAAACTTATGCCTTCTAGGTCTGCATAGTATTTGAAGCCATCAATCTGAAAAGGAGTTGAATCTCCTCCAGTGGCTAAATTCTTTCCAACGATTAGTATATTTTTATCATAGCCTGAATCATCTAATTTTTCAATACAATAAGAAAATTCACCAGATCCCAATTGTGATAGTAAACAACGTTTTGCTGTCCCAAGTTCAAGCAATCCATTGCAGTTATTGGCTGTTGTTTCTGCTTCATGTGAACATCCAAAAACTACATCATTGATAAGTGATACTTTACTGTGGGAGGACTTAAAAATAAATCTCTCAGACGCAAGTTCCCTCTTGAAAATCCAGTTCCATATTGCATAGAATATTCGCATGATTTTTGGTCACAAAAGCACCGAGTGACATTGTTAATATATTCATGACAGTTTGCTAAATTTGAAAAAGTTGAGGACTCTGCAAAATTATGGGGTGGATCCAATGAATATTCACCATCACCACCCACTGGATTATTGCAATGGACCCAAAATAGGCTGCTACCAGTGTCAAAAGCAACAGTTTGTTGGACAGGTGGTTCGCCCATTTCAAAACATGCGAGAAACAAGGAAACTTTACGTCGCATTACTATACTTGCATGGAAATCACTTTGATCAGTGAATCCTTCGGCTTGCATGGACAAAAAGTTTAACCGAGCCAACAAAATCTCCATATCTCTATCCACTTAATCTTCAAGTTTGGCGGTCTGATCGAAATACGGAGAGCCAACAGCATTATGATAAATTAGTTTTGTCACTATCTGGTTGGATGTGGGGCCGTTTAGTATTGTATTTGGAAATAGGTAAGTAATGGTAAAAGTTAAGGCAAGGGAAAAGGCTTGAAAACGTCGCATATCACCTCTAACAGCTTATATCAAAGTTTTCTAAGAAAAATGCAGCAAAAGGAGGGAACAAATCGATATGCATTTTGATATAATATCCAACTATCTATATCTATATCTCTATGTATTGCAGAAAGGGTTTTTAACAGAAACACTCTCAATAGCTTCTAAACTTCTCATTCTTTTTTCTAGATTTTTGTATTTATTTTAATACATAAAAAGTAATGGGTTATAACCAACCTTATCACCAATCAAATTTAAATTTAAAATATTCCCACTATCCCTTAATTCATACTACAACCACTCCAACAAATCCTCTAATCATTATCCCACGTTTCCCCCAAAATTTCCTCCCATGTTTCCCACTCCAATTAAGAGTCCACTCCAATTAATGTATTGCATAGGGGATTTTTAGCAGATACCTTCTCAATGGCTTCTAAACATCTCATTCTTTTTTCAAGATTTTGTATTTCTTTTAATACATAAAAAGTAGTGGGTTATAACCAACCTTATCACCAATCAAATTTAAATTTAAAATATTCCCACTATCTTTTAACTCATCCAACAACCACTCCTACAAATTCTCGAATCATTATCCCACGTTTCCCCCTACATTTCCTCCCACGTTCCCACTCCAATTAAGAGTCCTCCAATTTAAGAATTCCACCCAAATTAAAACTCCTCCAAACATAGCGTCCTCCGTCAATTTTCTTGCATGCTCATTCGTATTTTTTGGTTAACGAAAACAAGAATCTATTGTCTCATTCATCTTTCTTGTGGTGTCAATCCAATTCTGTGTCATCCCATAAATCAAATGAACCCTAACAAGTCCGAATACATGCCACGTATATCCAAACTGGCGATTAATCCAAATAGCAATACTACATTATGAGTCTCTAATCTCTTTGAGTCATCTCTTACGGGATTTATTAATTGATTGTTTAAAATTGCAATTTTCTCCTCATTCTTTTGAGAACTCCTTTAGTTGAAATCTCCTCTAACTCTCCCATAGGATAGAGACCAGATAAATCTGGTCTTTCCACATGGGAGATATTCCTCTCTAGTTTTTTACCGTCGTTTGGTATGTTGAAATGGCATAGAAAGAAAAGATCTTTTCAACTTGTCCATTCCATTCTAGCGTTTTGTTATGGCTCATTTAAGCGGAAAAAGCTCTTATCCCTTGGAATGCTCATTCCAAATTTTCTCTCAAATCTCGTTCCTCTGAAAAATTTAGGAAAACTCCTTTCCACCTTCATCCTAAAATGCCTAAAAAGTAGGATGTCAAATTTATTCTTATAAATCTTTATATTGCATCATGATTGCGTCATGATATCTTAGGCTATTTGTAACTTTAATTAATATTTGAATGTAATTTTCCATAATAATTAATCTTCCTTATATTTAAAATTTTTTTCTTTTGTATTAAGAAACAAATGTTTTAAAATGCTTTAGTCTTTGACTTTTGAACAATTATGCAAGAAGCTTTTTTGAATTTTATCAAAATTGAAAAATGAATTATAGTATTTCACTTCATGTAATTTATGTTTTACATTGCTAATCATTATTGCTAATAAATGCAAAATTTTAAATTGAAAATCTACATATTACAATAAATCAAGTATTACAATTGAAGAATTTTGATATCAATCCTCATTTACTTTGAAAGTAAAATAGCAAAATTTCACGTAAATAGAAAAATACTATTTATATATCAAGTTGGGATTTGACAAATTAGATCTAAGAAATTTCAAATATGACAAATCTATAAAGAAATTGAGATTTGACAGAGAAAGACATAAATTCATAGAACGCTCTTACTAAGAAATGTTAGAAGAAAAGAAACTTTTACTCAAAAAACTTTAAGACAGAAGAAATCTCTCACTGTAAAACTCTAGGAAATGGAAATATTCAAAACACCTTGTTACCTATCAAAACACAAAAAGAGAACATTCAAAAAGCGAAAAAGAAGAAGCTAGAATCTATTTTGACAAACCCCATTACAATGTACATGTTATATACATGGAACATTCACAAAAGGGTAAAATACACATAACTTCTTTCGGTTCCACTCAAAATTCGCAAACTCCCTTATAATTCAAAAGTATTCAGAAAACTCCTTGGTGGCTCAAGCTGATGTGGAAAGATAATTTAAAACCAGTTGTATCACTAGTAATGAGTGCAATTCCAGAAATATCCTCTCTTAGTTAGGGTGTTTGTGTCATCACTGTCGGATCACCCTCTCAGCGTCATCTTCATCACCACTATTTTTAGTTAGAGTTTTAAATAAAGTCCCGATTTTGCTGTAAATTAATGCTTATCCATGCATATTTTCATGGTCAACTAGTGCTTGATAACTTTGTTATGGGTCCTAAGGATCGTCTCATGAATTTTACAATCCTCTCAAGCCAGTTTTAAATAAGGTCTGTAGTGAAGATATATTGGAAGTTTTACCAATCAATGGTGGTAGCCGGTAGTGGCCGGCAGTTGTGGCGCAAAAGGCAGCACATCCTTTTTTCAGCTGTGCCTATAAGAGAAGATCCGGCAAGACTAAACATGAACATGGTCATGGGGCTTTGCTTTGTCCCTACACAATATTGCATGGGGCTTCAGCAGCATCTTTGACTGCTCTAAATTGCTTGGAGCAGTGCTGATTTATGTTAGCCTTTGGAGCAAAACCATTTAACAGTGGAGAAGAATGGAAAAAAAGGAAAGAAATGAAAAAAGGAAAAGAAAAAGAAGAAAAGGAGAGAAGAGAAAAAGAAAAAGAATTAGGAAGAGAATGTTCTCTCTCTACATTCCGGACGGTTGCAGGGACTTTTCCCTACTTTATTTGAGAGTACCTTCGGAACAAAATTGTGGACTATTAATCTCATAAACCATTTTTAGGAGGCTCATGCATAATTTTTTCACGTATACATCACTTGCAGGTGACGCAATCAGTTATAAGTTAATATTCATGTTAATTTGAAAAATGAGGGGTCTTGTAAATATTTAATCATGCCACAGCATTTACGAGAAAAACATGAATTATCCATACTGCAGTCTAGACATTTGTTGAATAATAATAAAAAAAAGATGTTAGACTCACATATCTTTGTCATTCATGCTATCAGATCCAGAATGTATATGTTGGGAACAATGATTTTGTTCATGAACCTCAAAATCTGACACAAACTTGAGAGATGAAGTCTACTACATGTAAGGCAAACTACTTATCCCATCTTTCCATTACGGGTTCAGCTTGGAAGGAATCAAATCAAACTGCGAATACAAGTGTATTAATCATTCCATAAAGCTCTACAGTCCATTCTTTGAAAAGTAAGTTGCTTAGCTTCTAAATAAAATGCCATGTAGAAATATTGTTGAAGATTAACCCCAATAAGATTAAATTTATATCCTGGCTATGAAGCGTCCACCACATTCAAGCATACCTTACCAGAATATTGTTGAAAGATGTTCTCGTAGTCCAGTTCCATTGTTGAATCATTAGCAAAATGAAGTGCTATGGTAGGAACCCTAATGAAATCTGTGTAGAGATTTCCCCTGTAACAAAGCTTAGTTACGTATATCCCATGGTAGTCCGCTCTCTCAAGTGATTCTCCAACCAAGTCAACAATCTCTTTGTGTAATTTCCAACAGGCCATTGGCTGAAGAGCACTAAAACTTGCACCAGAATCAAAAGCTGCACCACCTTTATGATTTGATATTTTCAGTTGTTTTTTTGTCAATGTTAAGCATCTTACCTCCAAAACTTATGCTTTCTAGGTCTGCATGGTATTTAAAGCCATCAATCTGAAAAGGAATTGAATCTCCTCCAGTGGCTAGATTCTTTCCAACTATTAGTATATTTTTACCATAGCTAGAATCACCTAATTTTCCAATACAATACGAAAATTCACCAGATCCCAATTGTGATAGTAAAGAATGTTTTACTATCCCAAGTTCAAGCAGTCCATTGTAGTTATTGGTTGCTATTTCTGCTTCATGTGAACATCCAAAAAATACATCGTTGATAAGTGATTCTTTATTGTGGGAGGACTTAAAAATAAATCTCTCAAACGCAAGTATCCTTCTTGAAAATCCAGTTCCATATTGCATATAATATTCGCAAGATTTTTTGTCACAAAAGCACTGAGTGGCATTTTTACAATACTCATGACAGTCTGCTAAATTTGAAAAAGTTGAGGACTCTGTAGAACTATAGGATGGATCCAATGAATATTCACTATCACCACCCACTGGATTATTGCAATGGACCCAAAATAGGCTGCTACCAGTGTCAAAAGCAATAGTTTGTTGGACAGGTGGTTCGCCCATTTCAAACACATGCAAGAAACAAGGAAACTTTGCGTCACGTTACTATACTTGCTTGGAAATCACTCTGATCAGTGAATCCTTCGGCTTGCATCGACAAAAAGTTTAACCGAGCCAACAAATTCTCCATATCTCTATCCACTTGATCTTCAAGTTTGGCGGTCTGATTGAAATACGGAGAACCAACAGCAATAGAATAAATTAGTTTTGTCACTATCTAGTTGGATGTGGGGTTGTTTAGTATTGTGCTTGGAAATCGACAAGTAATGGTAAAAGTTAAGGCAAGGGAAAAGGCTTCAAAACAACGCATATCCCCTCTAACAGCAAGTATCAAAGGTTTCTAAGAAAAACGCAGCAAAAGGAGGGAACAATTCGATATGCATTGTGATATAATATCCAACTATGGGTATCTGTATCTATATTTATTACAGAAGGAGTTTTTAGCAGAAACCTTCTCAATGGCTTCTAAACTTCTCATTCTTTTTTCTTGATTTTTGTTTTTATTTTCAATACAAAAAAGTAATGGGTTATAACCAACCTTATCACCATTTAAATTTAAATTTAAAATATTCCAAATACAACCACTCCTACGAATCCTCTAATCATCATCCCCCATTGCCCCCACATTTCCTCCCACGTTTCCCACTCCAATTAAGAGTCCACTCCAATTTAAGAATTCCACCCCAATTAAAACTCCTCCAAACATAGTATCCTTCTTCAATTTTCTTGCATGCTCATTCGTATTTTTTGGTTAACCAAAACAAGAATCTATTATCTCTTTCATCTTTCTTGTGGTGTCAATCCAATTCTATGTCATCCCATGAATCAAATGAACCCTAACAAGTCCGAATACATGCCACGCATATCCAAACTAGTGACTAATCCAAATAGCAATACTACATTATGAGTCTCTAATCTCTTTGAGTCTTCTCTTGCGTAATTTATTACTTGATTGTTTAAAATTGCAATTTTCTCCTCATTCATTTGAGAACTCTTTTAGTTGAAATCTCCTCTAACTCTTCCATAGGATAGAGACCAGATAAATCTGGTCTTTTCACATGGGAGAAATTCCTCTCTAGTTTTTTTACGGTCGTTTGGTATGTTGAAATGGTCTAGAAAGGAAAGATCTTTCCAACTTGTCCATTCTATTCTAGCAATTGTTACGGCTCATTTAAGTGGAAAAAGCTCTTATCCCTTGGAATGCTCATTCCAAATTTTTTTCTAAGATCTTGTTCCTCAAAAAAATTTAGGGAAACTCCCTTCCACCTTCATCCTAAAATGCCTAAAAAGTCGGATGCCAAATTTATTCTTATAAATCTTTATATTGCATCATGATTGCATCATGATATCTTAGGCTATTTGTACCCTTAACTGATATTTGAATGTAATTTTTCATAATAATTAATCTTCCTTATATTTAAAATTTTTTTTCTTTTGTATTACGAAACAATTGTTTTAAAATACTTTAGTCTTTGACTTTTGAACAATTGTGCAAGAAGCTTTTTTCAATTTTATCAAAATTGAAAAATGAATTACATTATTTCATTTCATGTGATTTATATTTTACATTGGTAATCATTATTGCTAATAAATGCAAAATTTTAAATTAAAAATCTACATATTAGAATAAATCAAGTATTACAATTGAAGAATTTTGATATCAATCCTCATTTATTTTTAAGGTAAAATAGCAAAATTTCACGTAAATAGAAAAATACTATTTATATATCAAGTTGGGATTTGACAAATTAGATCTAAGAAATTTCGAATATGACAAATCTATAAAGAAATTGAGATTTGACATAGAAAAAGACATAAATTCAAAGAACGCTCTTACTAAAAAATCTTAGAAGAAAAGAAACTTTCACTCAAAAAACTTTAAGAGAGAAGAAATCTCTCACTATAAAACTCTAGGAAATGGCAATATTTAAAACACCTAATTACCTATCAACACACAAAAAGAGAACATTCAAAAAGCTAAAAAGAAGAAATTAGAATCTATTTTGACGAACCCCATTACAATGTACATGTTATATACATGGAACATTCACAAAAGGGTAAAATACATTTAACTTCTTTCGGTTCCACTAAAAATCTGTAAGCTCCCTTATAATTCAAATGTATTCAGAAAACTCCTTGGTGGTTCAAACTGATGTGGAAAGATAATTTAAAAGCAGTTGTGTCACTGGTAATGAGTGCAATTCCAGAAATACCCTCTCTTGGTCAGGGTGTTTGTGTCATCACTATCGGATCACCCTCTCAGCGTCATCTTCATCACCACTATTTTTAGTTAGGGCTTTAAATAAATTCCCGATTTTGCTGCAAATTAATGCTTATCCATGCATATTTTCATGGTTAACTAGTGCTTGATAACTGTGTTATGGGTCCTAAGGATCGTCTCATGAATTTTACAACCCTCTCAAGCCAGTTTTAAATAAGGTCTGTAGTGAAGATATGTTTGAAGTTTTATCAGTCAATGGTGGTAGCCGGTAGTGGCCGGTAGTTGCGGTTTAAGAGGCAGCACGTCTTTTTTTAGCTTTGCCTATATGAGAAGATCCAGCAAGACTAAACATGAACATGGTCATGGGGCTTTGCTTTGTCCCTACGTAATATTGCATTGGGTATCAGCAGCATCTTTGATTGCTTTAAGTTGCCTTGAACAGTGCTGATTCATGTTAGCCTTTGGAACAAAACCATTCAACAGTGGAGAAGATGGGAAAAAAGGAAAGAAAAGAATAAAGGAAAAGGAAAAGAAGAAAAGGAGAAAAGGGGAAAAAAGAATTAGGAAGAGAATGTTCTATCTCTACATTCCGGACGGTTGCAGGGACTTTTCCCTACTTTATTTAAGAGTACTTTCGGAACAAAATTGTGGACTATTTATCTCATAAACCAATTTCAGGAGGCTCACGCATAATTTTTATACATATTCATTACTTGCAGGTGACACAAACAGTTATAAGTTAATATTCATGTCAATTTAAAAAATGAGAGGTCTTGTAAACATTTAATCACGCCACAGCATTTGCAAGAAAAACATGAATTATCCATACAGCAGTCTAGACATTTGTTGAATTATAAAACAAAGATGTTAGACTCGCAAATCTTTGTCAATTCATGCTATCAGATCCAGAATGTATATGTTGGGAACACTGATTTTTCTTCACGAAGTTCAACATCTGACACAAACTTGAGAGATGAAGTCTACTACATGTAAGGCGAACTACTTATCCCATCCTTCCATTACGGGTTCAACTTGGAAGGAATCAAATCAAACTGCGAATACAAGTGCATTAATCATTTCACAAGGCTCTACAATCCATTCTTTGAAAAGTAAGTTGCATAGCTTCCAAATCAAATGCCATGGAGAAATATTGTTGGAGATTAACCCTAATAAGATTAAATTTATATCCTAACTGTGAAGCGTCCACCACATTCAAGCATACCTCACCAGAATAATGTTGAAAGATGTTCTCGTAGTCCAGTTCCATTGTTGAATCATTAGCAAAATGGAATGCTACAATAGGAACCGCAATGAAATCTGTGTAGAGATTTCCCTTGTAACAAAGCTTAGTTACATATGTCCCATGGTAGTCCGCTCTCTCAAGTGAATCTCCAACCAAGTCTACAATCTCTTCGTGTAATTTCCAATAGGCCATTGGCTGAAGAGCACTAAAACTTGCACCAGAATCAAAAGCTGCACCACCTTTATGATTTGATATTTTCAGTTGTTTTTTGTCAATGTTAAGCATCTTACCTCCAAAACTTATGCTTTCTAGGTCTGCATAGTATTTAAAGCCATCAATGTGAAAAGGAGTTGAATCTCCTCCAGTGGCTAAATTCTTGCCAACTATTAGTATATTTTTACCATAGCTAGGATCACCTAATTTTCCAATACAATACGAAAATTCACCAGATCCCAATTGTGATAGTAAAAAATGTTTTGCTGTCCTAAGTTCAAGCAGTCCATTGTAGTTATTAGCTGCTATTTCTGCTTCATGTGAACATCCAAAAACTACATCATTGATAAGTGATCCTTTATTGTGGGAGGACTTAATAATAAATCTCTTAGACGCAAGTATCCCTCTTGAAAATCCAGTTCCATATTGCATATAATATTCGCATGATTTTTTGTCACAAAAACACTGAGTGGCATTGTTACAATACTCATGACAGTCTGCTAAATTTGAAAATGTTGAGGACTCTGTAGAACTATAGGATGGATCCAATGAATATTCACCATCACCACCCACTAGATTATCGCAATGGACCCAAAATCGGCTGCTACCAGTGTCAAAAGCAACAGTTTGTTGGTCAGGTGGTTCGCCCATTTCAAAACATGCAAGAAACAAGGAAACTTTACATCGCGTTACTATACTTGCTTGAAAATCACTCTGATCAGTGAATCCTTCGGCTTGCATCGACAAAAAGTTTAACCGAGCCAACGAAATCTCCATATCTCTATTCACTTAATCTTTAAGTTTGGCGGTCTGATTGAAATACGGTGAGCCAACAACATTATAATAAATTAGTTTTGTCACTATCTTGTTGGATGTGGGGCTGTTTGGCATTGTACTTGGAAATATTTAAGTAAAGGTAAAAGTTAAGGCAAGGGAAAAGGCTTGAAAACGTCGCTTATCCACTCTAACAGCATATATGAAAGGTTTCTAAGAAGAACGCAGCAAAAGGAGGGAACACTTCGATATGCAATGTGATATAATATGCAACTATCTATGTGTATTGGTGAAGGGGTTTTTAGCAGAGACCTTCTCAATGGCTTCTTAACTTCTCTTTCTTTTTTCTAGACTTTTGTATTTATTTTAATACAAAAAAATAGTGGGTTATAACCAACCTTGTCACCAATAAAATTTAAATTTAAAATATTCCCACTACCTCTTAACTCATTCTACAGCAACTCCTACAAATCCTCTAATCATCATCCCACATTTTCTCACACATTTCCTCACACCTTTCCCATTCCAATTAACGTATTGCAGAAGGGGTTTTTAGTAGAGTCCCTCTCAATGGCTTTTAAACTTCTCATTCTTTTTTCTAGATTTTTGATTTATTTTAATACATAAAAAATAGTGGGTTATAACCAACCTTATCACCAATCAAATTTAAATTTAAAATTTTCCCACTATCTCTTAACTCATCCTACAACAACTCCTACAAATCCTCTAATCATCATCCCCCATTGCCCCCCTATTTCCTCTCATGTTTCCCACTCCAATTAAGAGTCCACTCCAATTTAAGAATTCCACCCCAATTAAAACTCCTCCAAACATAGTATTCTCATTCAATTTTCTTGCATGCTCATTCATATTTTTTGGTTAACCAAAACAAAAATCTATTAGCTCTTTCATCTTTCTTGTTGTGTCAATCCAAATCTATGTCATTCCATGAATCAAATGAACCCTAACAAGTCCGAATACATGCCACTTATATCCAAACTGGTGATTAATCCAAATGGCAATACTATATTATGAGTCTCTAATTCTCTTTAAGTCTTCTCTTGCGGGATTTATTACTTGATTGTTTAAAATTGCAATTTTCTCCTCATTCTTTTGAGAACTCCTTTAGTTGAAATCTCCTCTAACTCTCCCATAGGATAGAGACCAGGTAAATCTGGTCTCTTCACATGGGAGAAATACCTCTCTAGTTTTTTACCGTCGTTTGGTATGTTGAAATGGTCTAGAAAGGAAAGATCTTTCCAACTTGTCCATTCCATTCTAGCATTTGTTATGCTTCATTTAAGTGGAAAAGGCTCTTATCCCTTGGACTGCTCATTCCAAATTTTCTTCTCAGATCTTGTTCCTCAGAAAAATTTAGGGAAACTCCTTTTCACCTTCATCCTAAAATGCCTAAAAAGTAGGATGTCAAATTTATTCTTATAAAGCTTTATATTGCATCATAATTGCATCATGATATCTTAGGCTATTTGTGTCCTTAATTAATATTTGAATGTAATTTTTCATAATAATTAATCTTCCTTATATTTAAAATTTTTTTTCTTTTGTATTAAGAAAAAAATGTTTTAAAATATTGTAGTCTTTGGCTTTTGAACAATTGTGCAAGAAGATTTTTTGAATTTTATCAAAATTAAAAAATGAATTATATTATTGCACTTCATGTAATTTATATTTTACATTGCTAATCATTGTTGCTAATAAATGAAAAATTTTAAATTAGAAATCTACAAATTAGAATAAATCAAGTATTACAATTGAAGAATTTTGATATCAATCCTCATTTATTTTAAAGGTCAAATAGCAAAATTTCACGTAAATAGAAAAATACTATTTTTATATGAAGTTGGGATTTGACAAATTAAATCTAAGAAATTTCAAATATGACAAATCTATAAAGAAATTGAGATTTGACATAGAAAAAGACATAAATTCAAAGAAAGCTCTTTCAAAAAAATCTTAGAGGAAAAGAAACTTTCACTCAAAAAACTTTAAGAGAGAAGAAATCTCTAATTGTAAAACTCGAGGAAATGGCAATATTCAAAACACCTTATTACCTACCAACACACAAAAAAAGAACATTCAAAAAGTGAAAAAGATGAAGTTAGAATCTATTTTGACGTACCACCCCATTACAATGTACATGTTGTATACATGGAACATTCACCAAAGGGTAAAATACACATAACCTCTTTTGGTTACACTAAAAATCCACAAGCTCCCTTATAAATGCAAAGTATTCAGAAAACTCCTTGGTGGCTCAAATTGATGTGGAAAGATAATTTAAAACCAGTTGTGTCACTGATAAAGAGTGCAATTCTAGAAATACCCTCTCTTAGTTAGGGTGTTTGTGTCATCACTGTCCGATCACCCTCTCAATGTCATCTTCATCACCACCATTTTTAGTTAGGGTTTTAAATAATGTCCCGATTTTGCCGCAAATTAATGCTTATCCATGCATATTTTCATGGTCAACTAGTGCTTGATAACTGTGTTATGGGTGCTAAGGATCATCTCATGAATTTTACATCCCTCTCTAGCCAGTTTTAAATAAGGCCTGTAGTGAAGATATGTTGGAAGTTTTACCAGTCAATGGTGGTAGCTGGTAGTGGCCGGCAGTTGTGGCGCAAGAGGCAGCACGTCCTTTTTTCAGCTTTGCCTATAAGAGAAGATTCGGCAAAACTAAACATGATCATGGTCATGGTGCTTTGCTTTGTCCCTACACTATATTGCATTGGGTATCAGCAGCATCTTTGACTGCTCTAAGTCGCCTTGAACAGTGCTGATTCATGTTAGCCTTTGGAACAAAACCATTCAACAGTGGAGAAGATGGGAAAAAAAGGAAAGAAAAGAAAATAAATAGTCTTTTTTCTAGATTTTTGTATTTATTTTAATACAAAATAAATAGTGGGTTATAACCAACCTTATCACCAATCAAATTTAAATTTAAAATAGTCTCACTATCTCTTAACTCATCCTACAACCACTCCTACAAATCCTCTAATAATCGTCCCACGTTTTCCCCCATATTTCCTCCTACGTTTCCACTCCAATTAATGTATTGCAGAAGCGGTTTTTAGCAGAGACCCTCTCAATGGTTTCTAAATTTCTCATTCTTTTTTGTAGATTTTTGTATTTATTTTAATACAAAAAAGTAATGGGTTATAACCAACCTTATCATCAATTAAATTTAAATTTAAAATATTCTCACTATCTCTTAACTCATCCTACAACCACTACTACAAATCCTCTAATCATCACCCCACGTTTCCCCTCACATTTCCTCCCCCGTTTCCCACTCCAATTAAGAGTCCACTCCAATTTAAGAATTCCACCCCAATTAAAACTCCTCCAAACATAGTATCCTTCTTTAATTTTCTTGCATGCTCATTCGTATTTTTTGGTTAACCAAAACAAGAATCTATTATCTCTTTCATCTTTCTTGTGGTGTCAATCTAGTTCTATGTCATCCCATGAATCAAATGAACCCTAACAAGTCCGAATACATGCCACGTACATCCAAACTGGTGATTAATTCAAATTGTAATACTACATTATGAGTCTCTAATTTCTTTGAGTCTTCTCTTGTGGGATTTGTTACTTGATTGTTTCAAATTGCAATTTGCTCCTCATTCTTTTGAGAACTCCTTTAGTTGAAATCTCCTCTAACTCTCCCATAGGATAGAGACCAGATAAATCTGGTCTTTTTACATGGGAGAAATTCCTCTCTAGTTTCTTTCCGTCGTTTGGTATGTTGAAATGGCATAGAAAGGAAAGATCTTTCCAACTTGTCCATTCCATTTGAGCATTTGTTATGGCTCATTTAAGTGGAAAAAGCTCTTATCCCTTGGAATGCTCATTCCAAATTTTTTTCTCAAATCTCGTTCCTCAGAAAAATTTAGGAAAACTCCTTTTCACCTTCATCCTAAAATGCCTAAAAAGTAGGATGTCAAATTTATTCTTATAAATCTTTATATTGCATCATGATATCTTAAGCTATTTGTACCCTTAATTAATATTTGAATGTAATTTTTCATAATAATTAATCTTCCTTCTATTAATTTTTTTTTCTTTTGTATTAAGAAACAAATGTTTTAAAATACTTTAGTCTTTGACTTTTGAACAATTTGCAAGAAGCTTTTTTGAATTTTATCAAAATTGAAAAATGAATTATATTATTTCACTTCATGTAATTTATATTTTGCATTGATAATCATTATTGCTAATAAATGCAAAATTTTAAATTAAGAATCTATATATCAGAATAAATCAAGTATTACAATTGAAGAATTTTGATATCAATCCTCATTTATTTTGAAGGTAAAATAGCAAAATTTCACGTAAATAGAAAAATACTATTTATATATCAAGCTGGGATTTGACAAATTAGATCTAAGAAATTTCGAATATGACAAATCTATAAAGAAATTGAGATTTGACATAGAAAAAGACATAAATTCAAAGAAAGCTCTTACTAAAAAAAACTTAGCGGAAAAGAAACTTTCACTCAAGAAACTTTAAGAGAGAAGAAATCTCTCACTGTAAAACTCTAGGAAATGGTAATATTCAAAACACCTTATCACCTACCAACACACAAAAAGAGAACATTCAAAAAGCGAAAAAAGAAGAAGTTAGAATCTATTTTGACGAACCCCATTACAATGTACATGTTATATACATGGAACATTCAGAAAAGGGTAAAATACACATAACCTCTTTCGGTTTCACTAAAAATCCGCAAGCTGCCTTATAATTCATAAGTATTCAGAAAACTCCTTGGTGGCTCAAACTGATGTGGAAAGATAATTTAAACCAGTTGTGTCACTGGTAATAAGTGCAATTCCAGAAATACCCTCTCTTAGTTAGGGTGTTTGTGTCATCACTATCGGATCACTCTCTCAGTGTCATCTTCATCACCACCATTTTTAGTTAGGATTTTAAATAAAGTCCCGATTTTGCCGCAAATTAATGCTTGTCAATGCATATTT